GCTGTTCTCTCTTTGTTTACAAATCTATCAATCACTTGCTTGACAATAATTACTTCCAGTTCCGGAATAATCAGAGATGCAACTTAAGGCACCCAGAGCTACGAAGACCGCCCTCCATCCGCTCCTCTCAGTCCCAGACCTCCATAAAATATCACTAGGGGAAAGGTCACGGCAGGGTTAGCTCCGGGGATAATTATCAGATATGGCCAGTGCTATGTGCGGTCTTGGGTATGAGAGTTTGTTGACCAAACTGGGGTGGTCCACTGAAGAATTGGCGAGGAGTTAGAAATTGAGAGGGCCACGTTGGAGAACCTGAAATTAAGGAAAGAGCTGGCGAAGTTAAAAGGAGAGGCTGGACGAGTAAAGCCAGTGTCTGACGAAAAATCAAGCGAGTGGAAAATTGTGAGTTGTGGGAGGACCAAGCTGGTGGTGAAGAAGCACACGAAGGATACACAACAACAACGACAACAACAGCTAAGTGTACCAACCCGTTCAGTCCCTTGATAGACGAATTGACGTTAGTACAGTCAGGGGCAGGGATGACAAGGAAGGTATAAAAACTTTAATTGTTGGTGACTCACAGGTAAGGTACATGGACAGGGCCTTTTGTGGTAAAACAAAAATAGGATGAGGGTGTGTTTGCCAGAGCTGTGGGGATATAATTGACAGGATGGAGAATATCTTGTCTGGTAATGGAACAAACCCATTATCTGCTCCCAGTGCAGGAGGCAATGATATTGGCCGGTGTAGGAGCGAGGAACTTGATAAGTTCAAGGCAGCCATAGATCGTATTAGGATTATAGGAGGGATCCCTATCATATGCGGTGTCCTGCCTAGAAGAAGAGTTGGTGAATGGTTGTCAAGGGCAGTTGGTGTCAACGACCGTCTTGACAGATATTGCAAGTCAATATCAGTCCCATTCATTGACAACTGGGACAACTTCTATGGCAGAAGGGACCTTTATGCTAGGGATGGGGTGCACCTGTCTAGGATGGAGTAGCAACCCTGGCTGGGGTTTTAGAGGCAGTTCAAAAGATATCGAAGTCTTTAAACTGCCAAGAGAACATATGGGCACGGGGGTGGAGGAGACTACAGTGGAGCGGGTAAACAAGGCGAAAGATTACAGGAAATAGTGTTAGGAATGATGACAAAACTAAATTAGACAGGAGTTTAAAACTAAACACGGTAAGGGGAGGACTCAGAACACGACTAACTTAAATGTATACTACGTGAACAGTAGAAGTATGAGAAACGAAATGGATGATATTAGGGCCTTGGTATGTACCGAAGAAATCGATATAATTGCATTCACTGAAACATGGATCAACCTAGACACACGTGAATTACCAGTCGAATACCAATGTGTGTTCATACATTCATTATTATTCTGCCCACCATAATAAAGTCAAACAGTCAGTATTTTCAACAATGTTTTTACGTGCCTTGAGAATTTGCAGTCCGGAATTCATCGATGAGGAATACAAATATATATATAATATTGGCTCAAACCTTAAATACCCTAGATCTTTCATAGACAAATGCTTAAACATTACAAAGAAAACTTTTATAGAACTGACCCCAAGCCCACCCATGACCATAAGAATATCTTAATATTACCATTTCACAAAATTTCACACATTCCTGCACAGCAAAAACCTGAACGTCAATGTGGCATTTTAAAAACTCATGCACTGTTAAACAAATGTTAATCAAGAACTCCAACAACACAATTGGTTGCATTTATAAAGTTCCTGCAAGGAATGTAATATGTTTTACTTAGGCCAGACAGGTAAAGATCTTGCAACTAGAATTAAACAACACAAATACAGTGTTAGGACAGGCTGGGAATCCAATGCTCTGTTTGTTCATTTGAGGGATAACAAGCATTGCATTGACTGGGATAATGCCTCCTCAATATTACCATGTAATTCAATTGATAGTAGGAACATCATAGAATCTAGTCTTATTAAACATACCGAAGCATTCAACATGAATTTGAGTAACGGCATGTACAAGCTGGACAATTTTGTAATTAAGAAGATTTGTGATCAGGAGAAGGCCGGGTCACTTGACCATCTGACCTGACCACCAACCGTTGTGTGCTATTTAAAGATTAGTAGGTCATTACCTAATACCTGACCATTGTGGACCTGGTCTCACCCTCCTCTGTATATATACCTTGATTTGTATTACTCTCTAGTCTGTACTCACCCCTGAAGATGTGAATTACACGAAAGCGCTTTGGGAACTTCGTGTTTCTTCTTCCTTGTGGTTATCAGCATATATATATATATATATATATATATATATATATATATATATATATATATATATATATATATATATATATTGTTGGACTAGCATACTAATAACCTTGTTACGTGTTTAAAGACCTTATTAGGCTATGACCCATTTGCGAGGGTCCCACTTTGGAAAGTAGGTAGCGCGTCTACGCCTTGGTCACTCGATATCGATATATATATATATATATATATATATATATATATATATATATATATATATATATATATATATATATATATATATATATATATATATATATATATATATATATATATATATATATATATGTGTGTGTGTGTGTGTGTATGTATAAATAAATAAATAAACAAAATAATCATAAAAAAATAAAATAAAATATAATAAAAATAATAAATAATAAAATTAATAAATATTGAAGTGATAACCGTGGTAACATTATGAGATGTTCTTATCACCACCATGCTATTGTACTATTCCAGATGATACTAAATGTTACATAATACTTCCTTGAGATAAATGTATAGTATATATCAGGTGCCTCAAAGAGAGCTCAGGTTCTCAACTGGCTCAGCCATGTTAATATTGTTATTATTATCCACTCCATCTGTGTTTTTCTGGCTAAATAAACTGTTACAATTCAATTCAATCAGTAACGCTTTAAGTTTGATTATATTGATCACTTTCACGACCTGTCAGCTTAACTAGTGGTTCGGGCAGCCACGGGGTAGGTTAGTATGTATTACACGAGCTGTCTTGTCCAGAAAGAAACATGAATGACGAAAAAATACTACTGTGATATTTGGTAGGATCCACATCTCACCTTGATGGTTGTACCCGGGACACGATGGTCAGATGTATCCTTATGCCATCTCCTGACGAAGAACTTATCCCACCAGAGACGCAGTAGGTCCTCCTCTCACTGTTCACTCACGAATTGTGCATCCTTACGCCATCTACTGACGAAATATTGAACTGACCAGACTAGTTAACCAATAAGAAAACAACGCAGAAATATTCACCAATCAGAAAACAGTTTTTACTGAACCACCAACCCTTCCCGGGCAGTTATGTGCCTCATAGTTGTGTGGCCACTAACGTGCTTCGCCACTGATCCGTAGCGTGTTTGACCACCATACGTGGTAACTGATCGTGTAAACGAGCTCTTTTGCTTATCTCTTAATTTCCTCGAAGTCCAAAGTTTCACCCTTCGCCATATCATTCCTGTGTTTTCATTGGCTAGAAGTTTCGTCGCTGTTTTCCTATTGGTTAAATGTCTGGTCAGATCGGAAACAATAATAATCGTATAGCATTATAATGTATCAACAGAAGACAACATATAATATACCGTATATAATTATTACTTCTATAATTATACACTACAGTTATCTTCATAACTATAAACTTATAAAGTGTAAGAGAGAAGATACATTTAATTTTATATACAGTACAACTTGGTTTAGGCCAGTAGTCGCTAATTAATGAACAGGTGTTAGGTGTCAGGTATGAACTTATTAAACAAATCCATAAAAGGTGGACACGAATTGACTCTTTATTATTTAAAAACATAAAATGAAGGAAAGTATTACTGTATAGGTCTCATTTTAACCCCCATGAGGAAAGTTCTGTTTACACCCAACCAACCTCACTCCTATGCTTCTTAACCTATATGCTACTCATTTGTGGCGCTGGCTTGACAGAGCGAGGCGCTGGTGATGCTGTGCCAATCTTTCCTCTCGGTGTGATCATATACAACAACACGTATGGTCGAACAGACACCAAGATACTGTCTATAATGATATTAAAACATAATTGGCGTAGGGGTTAATGTATGCAATTAGTCGTCACACCTCACCAGCTATCGTAAAGGTGTAAAAATGGCAAGAGGCGTGAGGAGAGTGACACCCACCTACATCCACAACTGAAATCAAGTCGAGGCTTTACACCGACTAAACTCCATCTGGTGGGAAATTCGATGACTCGTGGCCACTTACTCTAGGCTAATATTATTTTGTTTTTTACTCACTAATGTAGCTTATGATAGTAAGTAGAAAACAGTAACTTAGTAATGATGATAAAAGTTGAAATTTGAACTTAATGAAGGATAATTATAGAATGGATGTCCTTATGGAGTACTTTGTGGTTTATTTACTGTGCCTGTTGTGTTTACCAGATGATAGTTCACACCATGATACTAAACCTAACAATAACAACATTCACTGGTACTCTCTCTCTCTCTCTCTCTCTCTGGTATGTTGTGAAGGAAGACTTGAAGGTGGTGGGAGAAGACTCAGCTGACAAAGACGTTTCTGAAGAGGTGTTTAGTTTATTAATAAGAGTTGAATTTAACGCCTACTTACACTTCTTGATTTTGCTTTCGCATTCTGATTGGCTGATGGATGCATGGGCGGAGTCAATTGTGTGGTTTCAAGTGATATGATTGGCTCTGTTGTCTAAGTGGGCGGTGATTTGGTATCCGTCAATTAACGAAGTCTCTGAGTTATTTATAAAGAAAACGTTGAAATGAGGTAAATACTTCAGGTGATCCGAGAAAGGTGAGAGAAGGGAAGGAAGGAAAGTTAACTAGAACGAGGACATGGTTTAAGGAGATAGTGTCAGCTGGTGGCGTGGACGTCCCACTTACCTTGACGTTATCTCAGTCACAGGTGCGTCTTCCCACTCAGGCGCAGGAACACACACTGGCCGCGAAGACTGATAACACCTCCTCTTCTCATTGCCTGTCACCAGTATCACCGCGGGGTTGCAGTACACGTGTCTCTGATTGATCGTAGGCACCACCGTGTATACTGCTACTACCCCCAGCTGCGTCAACACCTCAAGGAATTTGTTAGTCATGGAGGCCTACCAGTGTAGTGTTGGGTTCTTCTTCCTGGTGTTCCTGTGTGTAGGGAGTCATGCCTGGATTGACCCTAATGACGACAGCTGTCCTGACCCCAGCGTCATCTCTCCCTGTGTCTGCTCCGTCGTACCTGGGAACAGCAGACATATTGACTGTTCTGATGTGAGAGACGAGGATGACCTGGCCTGTATTTTCTCCAGCTCTTCCCTCCCCACCTTCAAGAAGCTGACTATTGAGTATAACACTCGCCTGAGTGTCCTGAGGGCGGGGCTCCTAGGTAACGCCAGCTTCGAGGAGGTGTACATCTACGGCGGTGCCCTGGAGGAGGTAGATAGGGGCTTTCTGGCAGGAAGCTACAACACTGCCATCAGTATAGACTTCAGTTACAATTGGCTGACAGACTTTATCTTCGATGATATGTCTCTCTTCACTAAACTCAAGTCGTTGACCCTGGACGGCAACAAACTATCCTATCTGCCTCCCATCACCTCCCCAACACTCGCCTCCATCAGTGTAGGCGAGAACCCCTTCAGTACCTTAGAGCCCTCGACCTTCCAACACATGCCAGCCCTCGAGACCATCTCCATCTTCAAGACTGGACTTAACAACATCTTGGCAGGTAAACAACTTCTCTCACATAGTGTTACCAACAAGACACTAACCAATAACAGTATTACCAACAACACATTAACTATCATACAAATGGACGATTAAGTTAGGTTAAGTTGCTAGGGCCAGTACTAACATGGATCACCTTGTTACAGGAACGTTCTCAGGCCTGGAACACCTCACCTGGCTCTCCCTGGGGGAGAACCTACTCACACACATACACTCCAACGCCATCCAGTTCACGGAGCCGGGAGCCTCCCTCTACCTCGACCGTAACAGCATCAAGTACATTATCATCGACGCTATTGGAGGTGTGTAGAACATCATTACAGGAATATAGTTTAATTACAGGTGTGTAAAGCTTTATTACAGGTCTGTGGAGCTTAATTACAGGTGTGTAGAGCTTTATTACAGGTGTGTAGAGCTTTATTACAGGTCTGTATAGCTTAATTTCAGGTGGGTAGAGCTTTATTACAGATGTGTATAGCTTAATTACAGGTGTGTAGAGGTTCATTACAGGTGTATTAAGGCAAGGCTAAAGTGAGAGGTAGGGAAGAAAATGTTTTCTCTCTCTTTCACCCTTCCTTCCTTCCTCCCTCCTCTCCCTCACTCTCTCGACATCTCACTGGCGTCTCTCCTTCAGGCCTCACCAACGGCGCCCTCTATGTGTACAACAACAAGATCGTGGAACTGGAGGAGGATATCTGGAGGCCGATGTTAGAGGCTGGCAACGAAATCGACCTCAGAAGTAAGTTGACCTCCACTTTAGTATCGGAATCGGAACATAAGCGATCGGGAGACTTGAGATAGATACTCTGTTGTTTGTTATCGGTATATTTTTATCCTTATCGGTATAATTAATGTTCCGATATCGTAGAAAAGTTAGAATTCCTTGAGATCCCTAGATACTTAACAACCCCAGATAAACCACTGAAGTCCCCAGATATCTCACCCCACCTCCTTCCTCCCCCAGATAACCCCCTGACATGCGGCTGTGACATCGCCTGGCTCCTTCACGACCCTACGCTTCTCTCCCTCATCAATCACCAGACGATCTGTGTTGATGGGACTCTTTTAGTTGACATAAATCCTGACGACATTGATGCTATATGCTAATTCTTCTCCAGGATAGGATAAAAGGTAACACTTGACTGGATTACTATGAATAAAAATACCCAAAATTGATATACTTGTTTTATTTATATCAGCCCAGGTAAATTTACAGGTTAACAAGGTAGAAATGATATTAAGGGTATAATTAATGCTTACCTGGTGATTACAACCCTTGGTTTATTTCACCTGATGATTAAGCAGACTAATGCTTCCTGGAGGATTAGGTTAGGTTAGGGTGTTTAATCATCAAGTGAAATAAGCTGCAGGCGATCCTTTCTTAGAAACAAACGTCTAAAATTAATTCATATATTTAAACAATGTTATTATTATTATTATTATTATTATTATTATTATTATTATTATTATTATTATTATTATTATTATTATTGCTTTTACCATCTCACCTTCCGTGGTATGTTCCTCTTGTTTGTGTTGTTTGTGTATCTCTGAGTTGTTTGCTTCACTACGGCTCTCTCAACACCTGCTATTTTCCCAGGAGCTTCAGGTGAGTCTTTATCGTGGAGAGAACTTTTTTTTTCCTTGTTGACGATGAACAACGATGCCATAGAGAAATCCGACTGCGAGAGAGGATAATGATAAGTAGGAACCTTAAGCCAAGTAAACAATGTGTTTTTGCTCGTAACAAGGCTAATAAAATTTCTTGGCCAAAGGAGTGTTAGTTACAAGACTAGGAGGTCATCCTAAAACTGTATCTTGCGCTTGTGAGAACACACCTGGATTATGCAGTTCAGTTCTGGTCACCGTACAGAATGGATATAATCCTTAAAAAGAATTCAGAGGAGAATGACAAGACTAATCCCGGGCATTAGGAACCTTGAGTATAGAGACAGGTTAAAGCATCTTTAAAGATTTTAATTAAGAATATAAGAATATAATTGAGGAAATTGCAGGGCTCCATTATTCTCCATACTGGGCAGTCCTGTTTATAATTTCAACACCTTTTGCTCATATAAGACCAACCTATGTTTGAAGTTTATCTGAAGTATTCGAGTTAATGATGATATTTGTAACTTGTTCCATCTATCCACTACCTGTTTCCAAACCAGTGTTTGTTTTATTTCACTCAAATCTAAATTTTGTCAAATCTCTAAAACCATTGTTACGAGGTTCGTCTTAGTTGATAGTTTGAGTACCTTTGTAATGTCCCCTTTGTTTAGCTCCCTGCTTTCCACTTATACACTCCATATCAAGTCGCCCCTCACTCTACGTTCATCGAGGAGTGCAAAATTGATGCTTTAACCGTCTCCCTACACTCAAGGTTCCTAATGCCCGGGATTAGTTCCCTGTCATTCTCTCTCTGAATTCTTTCCATGATTCTATATCCACTTGGTAACATGTGGTGACCAGAACTGAACTGCGCAATCCAGGTGTGGTCTCACAAGATAAGATACAGTTTTAGGACGACTCAATAGTCTTCATAATTCAACACTTTGTAAGGAACTCAAGTACTTTATTAGTTTTGTTACGAAAGTATACAAACGACATTGTTTACTTCTGGCTTAAGGTTCCTATTTATCATTACCCCTAAATTTCTTTAGTCGGATTTTCATGGAAAATGTTGTTCATCTGGTATCTGGTTTCCTGTTTTACATCTCCTCACTGAGTACTTTGTATTTGTCGACGTTGAATTTCATCTGCCATTTTCAGACCATTCAAAAATTTGTTTAGATCTTTCCCGTAGTTTCACGAGTCCTCGCTGGGATTTATTAACACGGCCCCATTTTAGTGTCATCAGCAATTGCCAAAGCGTTGCTCCAGCGATATCTATGTTGTTTATGTATATATTGAATAATACTGATCCAAGTATAGAGCCCAGAACTCCACTGTGATGTTGCTCCAATGGGACTTGAAAGCGCTAATGCTCACTCGCAGTTCTCGTCCTGTAACCACGCCCTAATCCATTTAAGGAATATCTCTGGATGCTGTGTGCTTCTACCTTCAAATTAGTCTTCGGGGACTCTATGAAAGCTTCTACAAAGTCGAGATATACCACACCAATGGTGCCTCGTCCACCGATTCGAAAATCGATGAAAAGAATGTTAAGAGATTGATAGACATGAACGCCTCATTGTGAAGCCAAGGAATCAATAATCAATCGGTGCTTCAGGTGATTTCGGTAGAGTTTGAAATGATTACCCAGTAATTTGCCCAGCCATTGATGTTAGACCATTGAGTTAGTAGTTGAGGATAGTGATCTATCCCTTCTTAAAAAATCTTCGGTATTGAATTACTCCGCTATACCCAGGATTCTGGTATCACCTGTTTTTAAGGACATGTTAAACTACTTGCTATAAAGGCCAAGCTCTTTTCCTTACATTCCTTTGTTACTCTGTAAATATCTCATCGACTAAGCGACAGTTTTAATTTGTTCATTTGCTTACTAATATCGTTATTGTGTCACTACTATCTCTTAACGGTTTTCTACTATCTCAATAGAGTCGTGCCTCTGGGCATTGCGTTTAAATTTTCTGTAGAAAAATCCGTTGAAAAATATTTATTCAAATTATTGCTCATTTCTCTCGTCAGCATTGTAGAGCTCACAGGTATCTGACCGTATCATTCAATCTTTCTTTGTTTTAGCTTGATACATTTGTAGAACTTTTGGGCTTGTCTTCGCCTCTCCCTTGTTATCCCCTTACCTCATTATTCCTCCTTTTGGCTTCTTCCTCGGTTTTAACCCCACTGCCAATACCTTATAATAATCCCGGAGGTAAATTTCGCCAATGATTTATCCTTCTACCATAGCCTTCCTTTGGCCAATGATGTTTTTTGTAATTACTATCCATTTAGGTAATATTGTTGTCTGATCTGAGTTTTTGCAGGCGTTCTGCCTTTGTGCATTAAGTAACTCACGCCTAAAATTGTCGAACCTGGCAACTTCAGATCCGGTATCAGGTTTGGTGTCATCTGTCAACGTCAAGGCGACACCCTCCTCAGCTACCCTTTAAAAATGTCAAGTTTGCCTTCTGAATCTGGTACTTGAAAGTGAATTTTCCAAGTACGCCTTCCGCTGCGAAAAATCTAATCTCGAATCTAATTTCTTTTTTGTGATCGCTGTTTGCAAGTTCGTTTCAATCTCGGATGATTGCTAATGAGGTTTTCTGTTCGACAGAACTAAATCCAGCATATTATTACCCGGCAGGTTCTTTATTATATGTTGACTTAGAAAAACAGTCCTGATCGTCTTGAGAAAATCCTCTGATTCTGAGTTACCCGAAGGTCAGTCCAACTATTTGCCAATATGTTGAAGTCGCCCATCATAAGACTTTGTTGTGGGTTCTGCGCATATTTCATCCCAGATAAGTCGCTCATTGACGCTATCAAGATTGGGGGTCTATATATTGATCCTCAGATTAATTTTTCCCGACCGTCGATTAATTCTATCCAAATTGTTTCCTGTATTCCTCAGTTTTATTTCTTTTATTTATTTCACTTTCAGATTATCCCGACATGATTGCTACTCCGCCTCTTTTCCTGGTATGTCGCATCGCAGGTGGAAGGTCTGTAACTCGTAACCTGGTATTCGACCGGTAATCTGCCGTGTCTAGGTTGATCCAAGGTTTGAAAGTGAATGCTATTACATCGATTTTTCGGTACATCCCAAGGCCCCAATATCATCCATTTGTTTCTCACACTTCTACTGTTCATGTAGTAGACATTTGCTAGTCGTGTTCTGAGTCCCTCCTTTATCATGTTTTAGTTTATACCCCGTTCAATTTAGTTTGTCATCATTCCCAACACTATTTCCTGTAATCTTTCACTTTGTTTACCTGCTCCCATTGTTTACCCGGCTCACTGCAGTCTCCACCACCGCCGTGCTCATATGTTCTCCTAGCAGTTTGGAAAGATTAGTGGATGAATGGAACAAGTTACCAATATCATCATTAACTCGAATACGCTGAATAGCTTCAAACATAGGTTGATGCTTATATGAGCAATAGGGTTGGGTGTAAACAGGACTTTCCAGTATGAGCCAATAGGCCCGCTGCAGTTTCCTCCATTCTTATGTTCTTATGTTCTTATGTGGCTATTTTATGCTGACATTTCCTCGAGTGATCTAAATTCATTGGATTTACTTTGTATACGGAGAGTGTATATAGACAGTGTAGGTACATAAACAATTTACATAGACAGTGTATGTATACAAGCAATGTACAATACATTACATTGCCAAGCATTTATCACACGAATTTAATTGGGAGAGAGAGAGAGAGAGAGAGAGAGAGAGAGAGAGAGAGAGAGAGAGAGAGAGAGAGAGAGAGAGAGAGAGAGAGAGACTCTACCACTAACAAGATAATATGAAAGGTTTATCACCAGAATGGCCTGCGTGTCGTCTATTCTTCACTGAGGAATGCAGCATAATCTGTGTTGGGTCCACTACCGCCTACACCACTACTACTTTTACCACCTCCCACGGTTACTGGACACCCTTAAATGGGATAATCCTCGGGGGAGATGTCGAGTAATAGCTCCAAAAGTACCTTCAAGGATTAAGGGATGATGTTTGAAGGGGGATATGTGTAATTTGTGTAGTGTTGCCAATAAATCAGTAATTGAATTTTGATGTGTGTGTGTGTGTGTGTGTGTGTGTGTGTGTGTGTGTGTGTGTTGTCATCATCAAGGCGTGGGGTACCTAGTGCTCGATGTGGGTCGGTTGAGAGCCACACACCCCTTTGTAGCCGCGCCCACTGACTGCCCCTCCTTCCCTCCCCTTCTCCTCAATCTCTCCTCAACTCATGGTATTTGTTTATCATACCATGGGGCCTTCCCTCTACCACTATAGCCCCTCCAGCCCCCTCATTAGTAGAGTCCTCACTTCCATCTTCTATGTTCCTTCCTCATCACCTCCTGAGCCCTTCCCCTCACCCCCATGCCCCATCACCAAGTCCCACAATCACCTCCATGTTCTCACCCTCCCTACTCCCCCTCCACACTCTCCTCACCTTCACATCTCACACCTCCCCACTCCCTCCTCACCTCCAACCCCTCATCCCCACACCCCCCTCACTCCCCAGGAGAGTCAACAGGGGGGTGGACATCAAGGATCTGGT